TTTGATCTAATAATCCAATCCAATAATTCGATTGATTTTATTTTTGTGGTTCATATCCGTATCTAAATTCGAATTTGAATTTGAATCCAAATTTTAAACCAAATATTAAAAAAATTATCTAAATTTTAAAAAAAAAATTGTCTAAATTTTAACTATATATATATATATATATTTTGAATCAGATCATAATCGGATCAGAGATAGGTATATCTAAATCTGAATCCTTGAAATATAAAATATCAAATTCAAATCTTGATTTGAATTACCGATAAAAATTATTAAACTATATCAGGCTAATCGGATTCAAATCAAAATCTAATTCATTAACAGACCTAATTGTAAGGTTCGATATTCATAATTTCTCACTAAAAGAAAGAGTCTAAATATAACCCTAATTATATATAATTCTTAAAGTATTTACAAACCTTAAATTTATGAACAATTTTGAATTTTTCTTAAATTGTTAAATTATTGTAAATTTGTTAAGACTAAAAATTTGGAATGTTAAAATATAATATGACTCATTAACAAGACACAAGTTGAGTGTAAAGACAAGCTTAACCCTGATGCAGAGGCAAATGGCATAGGTGCTAACAAGCGGAATTTGTTGAAGTAAAATGGATTAGGTGCAAGGATCAAAATATCGTTTGGAAACGATCGAAACGTTTCCGTTTTTAAAGGGATCAAAATAAATCAGTGATGGAATTGAAATTCTAATTTTTCGAGGTGTTCTATAATGTTTTGAAATGTTATTATATTTCAATGCATTTGCACAATTATTTCAGAATATTTCAAAGTATTTTGAAGATATTTTGGTATATTTTAACCAATATTTTGAAAAAATAAGTCTTAAATTTTTATTTTTTTTATTTGTTTCTGAAACAGGTCGAAACGTTTCCGAAACACATCAAAATGTTTTCGTTTTCGGGGCGACCGAAATAATACACCGAAACAAAATTTTGATGGAGCTGAGTCTCTCTCTCTCTCACACACACACATTCCACTATTTTCTCTGTCATTCAACCAAATTAAACTCTCTGTGTCAAATTCGTATAATGAAATTCATATATTTCACTGTCAAATTCAAATTTATTTGTTGATAAAATTTAAATTGAAGTTAGAATAGTGAGAGTCTCTCACAGAGAAAAAACATTTTCTCTGGCTTTCTTGGGAAAATTTTCTCTATTTTTTGAACACCGATTTATTTTTTTGGGTATTTTCTATTTGGTTTGATACATTATTGGACTTTTGTTAAGCAGGTTATGGTGATAGAGAGCAAACAGTTGTTCTGTCCCCATTAATGTCGCCGTCACACACGAAGGAGACAAAGAAATAAAGATGGAGAGGGGCAATGTCACCGTCGCAGATAAAGAAGATGGAGGAAAAGCAGAAAGCGATGATGTAAAACTATGGTGGAAAAGCACGACAAGGAAGTCGAGTACGAATCACTCGATATATTTGTATATGACTGACTATCTTCGCTGTCTTGAAGTTGTCTCAAGACTTTCAACTCAACAAATGATATGGATAATGGCTTAAACAGTTGGAATTATGAGAATCAGCGGTTTACCTACTGCTCAAACAAGTTTTTTATAAAAACAGTCTAAATATTATCGGTTTCGTTTGGTAGACGTATTATGAGCATATTAAATATTAGATTATATTATTTTTTATTTAATCGGGCCTAATACTTTGTTGATAAGAAAATTTGATACCGTATATACTATAAACTTATATTATGGAGGTCTTTTAATACTACCAAGAAATGTGGTATTATAATTAAATTCAAACATATTATTCTACAAATTTACTATTATAACCCCCTCAAGTGATAAAATCAAATTGTCATCAATATAACAAACACTAATTGAGGGTATTTTTGTTAATTCAACATTAATACGATGAAATAATTCTCTAACCAAACAACAGATTAGATTAAATAACTATTGTCCAACGCTTATATTGTGTATTATCAAATACTAGATAAAATTACGTATTATTCTAATATCATATTTGATATTATTTTTAATTCATCAATGTTGTATTAGACTGTATTACTTTATCTAATCCATCTATTTTTAATACTGTAACCAAGCGAGACCTAAGTAAATTAAATATTGTTATGTTCTATATTTATTTAATCGGGCACAATACTTTGTTTGGTAGATAAATTTGATTCCGTATTAATCTCAAATATATTATTGTACACATTTATTATTATAATCCCACAACTGATAAAATCAAATTGTCATCATTGTAACAATACTAATTGAGGATATTTTTGTTAATTCAACATTAATATGATGAAATAATTCTCTAACTAAACAACCGATTAGATTAAATTATTACTATTCAACACTTATGTTGTGTATTGTCAAATATTAAATAAAATTAACTATTATTCTAATATCATATTTAATCTTATCTTTTGTCTATCTGTATTGTATTAGACTAAATTATTTTATCAAATTCATCAACTTTTAATGCAATAACCAAACAAGTCCATCTAGTTTTTGACCGGGTCAACGGTCTAAAAACCACTTGAGCTATAAAGAAGAAGCCAAAATTGACAGAATCTATGAAGCCAAAATGGAGATTAAGCCAAATTAGGTATGTCCAAATGACTAGCATAATAAATTGACATATAATTAGGGATGTTAAGTGATCCAAACAACTAAAGTTGATGATGATGCACAAAATTGGTTTATACACCACCTGTCAATTAAGTAAAATAAAATGCAGTAAAGTTGAGAGGGAGAAGACCAAGTTTATAGTGGTTCAATCAAAGTGACCTACGTTCATTTAAAATGACAAGGGTCGTCGGAATTTTATTAACTCCGATGCAATAGAAGAGCAGGAGATTACAAGCTTTCAGAGAGGAAGAGAGAATTGTAGTCAAAATGAGTGAGATGCCCCCCAAATATTGGTGAGACTTACAATTTATAGTGGCTTAGTTTTGTAATTAAACAACTAGTGTAGCGGTCGTAATGGGTTAGGGTCGTTTAATAGTCATAATGGATTGAAATGACTTTAACGGTGATTAAATAGCTTGGAGACCTCTCATCTCCTCAACCGGTAAGGAAGTTATGGTGCTCTCAAAGGACTTGGTCAAATGATGTGGGAAGGTACGCTCTCTCTGAGCGGCATGAGTGAGGCTTTTGGATGCTCCTTTACTCCAAGGTGACGAGAAGGCTTTTGGATGACCCTGTATGCTCTCCTGCTAAAGTAGCTCCTTGATCTTGATGAGTTTATTCGGGTTGATCACATTGAGCTAAACTTGCTGGATCTCTTAGAGATGGGCCTTCAGCTCAGACCAGGCTTATAACATAGGTTGGGCCTGGCCCATCAAAAGCTCAGCCAAACACAACATTGTTTAGAGAAGTTCAGGCTCGTTTTACTATAAAAGTATACAAAAATAGGGAAATTTGGAAACCGATCCTTCTATATAGACTTATTTGGATTAAGTCTGTCAAGAAGACTTCTTTTTGTCAATTTTATCATTAAAAACTCATAAATCTTAGGAGTTTAACTAACATTAAAATATTTTCTCTCTCATATCTATTTATATCCATATATAGGTTAAGAGTTTGACTAACATTAAATTTTTTTCTCTCTTTTATCTATCTATATCCATATATTGGTTAAGTATATATATATATATATATATATATATATATATATATATATATATATATATATATATATATATATATATATATATATATATATATATATTAACATTAAAAATAAAAAATAATAATATTTAAATACAAAAAAAGTTATCATTTGGACACAAAAAATAATATATTTAAACACAAAAAATAGTAACATTTAAACATAAAAAAAAAATTGAAACATTCAATATTAATATTTTTAAAAAATAATAACAGTAACATGTTCAACAAAAATATTAACATGTTCAACAAAAATAGTAACATGCTTAACAAAAATTGTAACATACATAACAATAGTTATGTCTCTCAAATTTAAATGCAAAAAATAGTATCATTCAAATACAAAAAATAGTAATATTAAAAAAATAATAATAACAACATTGAATATTAATATTTAGAAAAATAATAGTAATAACATACTCAACAAAAGCAGTAACATGCTCAAAAATAATAGTAACATGAACAGTAACATACTCAACAAAAACAGTAACATGAATAGTAAAATTCAAATTCATAGTAATTTTTTTTTGTATTTGAATGTTACTATTTTTTATTTTTAATGTTACTATATATATAGGAGAGAAAATATTAATTTTCTTTCAAGAAATAGTATTTTTGAGATAAAAAAAAAAAAAGTGGACTTAAGTCATTACTCATAATTTTCAACGTGAACTTAGCCCCTTATAAGTTTTCTTGTTGAAAATTCTTGCAGGATTTATTTTCAAACAAGTACATGTAGGGAGATTCACTTCCAATTTTCACTACAAAATAAGATTAGGTTTTTAAACTCTTTTTGTAAGTGAATTCAATCTGAACAATATGTGTCTCAGCTTTGTTTGAATGGAAAATTGATTATTTTATGATCAGATAGTAAGTCTTGTTGTTTAGTTTTAGAAATTTTGTTGAGAAATTAAGTTCGATTTTAGCTTGAATTCGACTCAATCCCCTCAACCACTGTCAAACTACATTCAAGAAAAAATATAAACTCTACAATGAAGATCAATCAATCACAACCAAATCAAGTTTAAATATATTTAAGCACTCAATTAAATGAATGTTTACCTTTCACTGCACTCCTGAGATGTAAAAATCAATGAGCTTGAATCCATTCAATATGCTTCACTTATTACTTTTCTAGCCAATATGCTTCTTTATTTTCTACTTAACTAAGGTAGTAGATGGGTAACAAGAAGGCTACCCCAAAGCCATTTACAAACAAGCAATGGAAACCACTAACGAATGGAAGAGAAATTAAATACCATAATTAACAGACAACCTTAAAAAAAAAAAAAAAAAAAAAAGAACTACCTAAAGTTTTTACCCACTCTAATTAAGAATCTGTTCCAGATTTGCTTGCAAAGCTAAATACACTGCACGCCATCCTGCTTGAGTTGGGTGCACCAAGTCCCAGAAGAAAGCAGATTTGGGGTCGTTGCAAACCGTATACATCTTCTCTCCTTTCTCATCCTCATCTCCACAGTAATGGTCAGTGCTTGTACCCATACAACATGCCTTCAATGGCCTCTCAAACGTCGAACTTTCTGTTGAAAGAAGAAGTCTACATTAAGTCCTTTACTAATAAAAGAACCACAAAAGCAATGAAAGAACTAAACATGGGCATCAACATAGTTGAGGCCAACAGTGATAAATAGAAGCCTTGTAGTCATAAGTAGTAGACCATCAACAATTTGGCAAAAAGCTACTCATGGAGTTTGCTTTTAAAAGAAATTCTGAACTTGCTAGATCGCCGTGGATGTCAGGCATTTTGCTCCAATTCACACCCGATCCAACATAATACCTTCAATATTTTAAATGAGAGATTTCATGGCAAATTTTTGGGGTAAATCATCGGTGAATGTAGGTTTTCGAGTCAAAAAAATTTAATCCAGTGCATTCGGTGTTGTTTGTTTGTAATTTCGTGTATAACACAGATACAATTGGTTATAATCGAGGAAAATATCTTTCTATTTAAAGGAAAGAGAGGGGAGGGGGGGAGGGAAAATTGAATGAATCACCTGTCTGGTTTCCTTGGTTCTGGAGTACAGTAGTGAAGGAGCTATAAAGATCAACAATGACAATTGCAGAATCATTGCTTTCATTGTTCAACTTTGCCACAGCTTGCTGCAACAAGAGGTTGTGGAAGGCCACCGCGGTGTTCTCAGTTGAATTGCATTGTTGGAACGAAGAATGTATAGTGCTTCGAGGGAGGCATCCCAGGGGCTGTAGAGCTGTCACAGCTACTTTCTTCACTCCCAGTCCTTTAATGCGTTTCAAGTTCAATTCCAATTGATTAACCACAAGAGTGATGAAATTTTGCAAACCCTATATAAATCGAAGACAGTTCAGCTCAAAAATAGTTGCCCGAGGCTGTAAACATACGAAAAAATAGTTGCCCGAGGTACATTGATCGATGAAAATGAAGAAATTTTACCATCAAGAACTTATACTACACAATTTCTGCATACATTAATGAACAAAAGTGCATGCATGCAGCTAGTTTAGCAATTAGAGGAACCAACACTCTTCTGTAAATCATACTGGAAAAAGCTACAAGTCCATGAAGTATTAACATAGGACCACACAGTTTTATCGGATAAGTTGAATTGATGATAACGTGCAGACAACAAAATTATTAACCAAATCAAAGTAATTGTGATAAATCATAACATTGGATCTCTCAGCTTGGAGTCCGGTGTCTGATAATTTAGTTTCTTACACACTTCTAAATATATGATCGGTTTGGCTACCGTACCCAAAAAAAAATTCGATACCATACTACTTAGAATTTTTATTTGGAAAAATTACCAATAAGTCATACTTTTCCTCCAAAAGAATCATTAAATCCTATCATATTTACCTTAGGACAATTAAGTTATATAAACTTTGATAATTTATTCTCAAAAAGTCTTATATTCCATCCACATTATGTTTTGTTTTAATTTTATTTTTTCCATCAACACACCAATTACACTTTTACCAATAATATTTGTTATTAGGACCCAAAACAAAATATTTTTTGTTAATTAGTGCATAACTCTCAAAACAAGTAATTAACAACAAAGAGTTATAGAAATGATAAATTTACAACTCTTTTTTTTTTTTGGTTCTATTTAATTTTTTAAGCATATAAATTTATGCTCACTTGATTATCTAATCTCAATCATGAAGACATATAATTACATGAACAAACAATATAAAAACTAGTCTATGAATAAAATCCTTCCACATTTTGAATTAATTAAAAAAAATATTGCTTTAAGGCATAAAAAAAATTAAGCATTTAACGTTACAGCATTGTATTGAAAAGATAAAATAAAAAATATTTATATATGTAATGCCTTTTCTACTATATAATATTCACTCAAATGAACTCCTCCTACATGTCAATAGGGCGGATGCTTTGATAATTATAAGAATAGCTTATTTTCATTTTAATTTAAAATCAAAAAATTATATTTCAATAAATATAATTGAATTTAAAATTATAAACAAAAATATAATTTGCATTTTTATGGGAAGGATAAAATTGAAACAAAACATACTATTAATAGAATATAGGGCTTCTTGGGAATAAATTATCAAAAGTTGGATTTAATTGTGTTTAAGGTAAAAATGATAGAACTTAATGACCATTTTGAAGAAAAAATAGTACTTATTGATATTATTATTATTATTATTATTATTGGTATTTATATCACCTTGGCAGAGTTTATTAACTTTTAGAGTACACTCACTTTTTCCGTAACAAACAAACCTAGATTTCATGGGAAGTATTACGGTAACAAAATGTGTTTTTTGGTGTCGTCCGTCTATTTTTTGGTCAATAAAAATGCACCCCATGTTTATTTTTTTTTTTGTTATTTTATTATTTTTTAATTAATAATTATAAAATCACTCGATTCATAATTAGCAATCCAAATTATTTTTCGACCCGAGTGGAGTAACTGTAGCCTTACACAGATTTCATGAATAAGGAAGTCCCACCTAACGATTTTAATGATTACTTCGAGTAGTAACTGACATAAATCGTAATTTTAAATGTCTTAAATTTTAATATTTTGATAATATTTTAAAGTCAAATTATAAGAGATTTATCCCTTGTAAATACTCTAGTCCGAATATGAATAACCTATCTTTAACTAAATCAAAAAAATAATAATAATAATCAGATATGTGTAAGCTGAATAGAATACAATGAGGACTCGTTTGGTAGACGTATTATGAGGAGATTAAATATTGAATTATATTATTTTTTATTTATTCAGACCTAATATTTTGTTTGGTAAACTAATTTGATACTGTATTAATTTTAAAAACGTATATTGATCGTATATTTTTTATACGATAGATCTGTATTATAAAGGTTTTTTTTAATACCACTAAGAAAGGTAATATTATAATTCAACTCAAATGTATTATTCTACACATTTACTATTATAACATTTTAACTGATAAAATCAAATTGTCATCAATGTAACAAACACTAATTGATAATATTTTTGTCAATTCAACATTAATACAATGAAATAATTTTTTAACCAAATAACCTATTGGATTAAATAACTATTATTCAACACTTATATTGTGTATTATCAAACACTTGATAAAATTACGTATTATTTTAATACTCTATTTAATCTTGTATTTTATCTTTCCGTATTATATTATACTATATTACTATATTTAATACTTCTATTTCTATCAAGTTCTATTTCTATTACGGCAACCAAACAAGCCCGAGTGGATGCTGAATAAAAAAAAATTCCACCCAACCCATCTAAGGATTCGTTGATAATGCTACCAAACAGTCAGTATTTGTTTTGGACCTTTGTAACTTTTAAGTAAGTGGAGCAGGTTGGTTGGTCAACTTCAGCAATTTTTTTCAACAGAAACATCGTCGGTAGTACTTAGTAGCATCATAACACTTGTCGTTTTTCCATAGCTTCCAACGGTCCAACCTATGCACACTCTCTGTTCACATGATACTTATGTTATCCAAAAATAGTTTATACTATATCTTTTTTCTTTTCAATAAAATATTAATACGTGTGAATATTATTTATTTTATTATTTTTATAATCAATAATCAAGAATAAATTTAAAAAAAAATCAAATGTCCAAAATCATTTGAGACATACTACCAAAAAAAAACTTTTCGTACCATAGCCCTATGAATCAAAATTACAGATTTCCTACTGGTCAATTACTAATCTAACGACGATAATAATTTTAATTAGCAAATTTAATTAATAAAACATTACTCGAGAAAAAGTTACGGTACCTTAAGTGGTATTTTACCATTCATAGAAACATCTAGAGGGGAAAGTAGGGTAACAAATTGTCCGATTAATGTTTTATGGGTAAAGAAATTCGTTTGGTAACGCTATTTAGAAGATAAGAGTAGTCTCATATGTTGAATTTTTAACATTTTTAGACATTGGGATTCAATTTTATTGGTAATTATTAATTGTAAAAACAATAAGAGGATGTGACAAGAAACTAAAGAAATCTTTTATTCGTCCCGTACTTATTAGACTAAAAAAGAAAATACGATACTGAAAAATAAAATTTTCAGTATCATAGTGATTCTATAAAAGATACAATACTAAAAAATTACTTTTCAGTACCGTACCTTCTTTTTTAGTCTAATAAGAGCTTGACATATTTAAAACTTCTTTATTTATTCTAACTTGTTTTATAATTTTTTTTTTATTAATGACCATAATAACTTAGGAGTTAAATTCATGATTTAAAATGATTTTTTGATCACTAAAATTACTCCTACCAAATTGAGGTACCAAACTCTCATCCCAAATGATGTGGCATATTCATCACAACCAAGTATTTACGAGGTTCCACTTTGTCTCGTGGTGATGAATGTAGCACATTATTTTGTTAAAAAAAAAAAAAATAGCATTAAAATTTGGTTGAGAGGAAATCTTGAGCTATCATTTCTTCAATGTTGTTGATATAATACTTAGTTAATTCTTTTATCTTTATATTCTCGCAATATTTAATCAATACACCTTTAGTGAGAATTTTAAAATTATTCCTTCGTCTCTACGTTATAAATAAATTAAACTAAAAATTATTTTTTATTATTTCTCCGGAAGCCTGCACTTGCATCCGTAGCAGTGTCGGTGGATGGCATACTATGCGGGACTCCACATTCACATGTCATCAGTTACAGGGAAATGCTACTGTACCCTGGGAGAGACGGTACCCAAATTTATAATTTTTTAAAATTTTATTATAATTTTTTTAAAATATAAATTATAATTTATAAAAAAATATGATAGATCATAGAAGATTTAGGTAGATATGTTAATTTACAATTTTTAAAAATCAAGTTACAATTTATATGAAAGAAATTATAACTGTTTAAGAGAACCTCATGATCAATTATAAGTATCAATCTTTGATAGATCATGGTCTTCTCTTGAGGAGTTATAATTTTTCCTTTCAAAATTATAATTTTACCATAAAAAATATTAAGTAAACTTTCCCTTAGTTTCCAATCAAATTTTCAAACTTCATGATGTAAAAGGAAGGTGGCCAAGGAATCCAAAGTTTGTTTATTTTTTTGGATGAGTACAGGGAATCCAAAGCTAAATTTTGATCTAAATTCGATATTTACATCCTATATACAAATTTGGTTCGACCCGATTAGTATATAGACTACCACTACAAGTTTAAATTTGGTCATAACAAATTATAAAAATACATGTATACTCAAAATTCAACCCGACTCAACAAAACTTTAATTCTAATTATCTAGGATCGATTATATGAATCTTATTTTTCTATTACGCTCTATCAAGTTTGGACTGAAATCGAGTAGCATTCATCATAGTATTATAAATTGTACCTGGGCAGTGCCACCATTGGCATAGTAAGCATTATAATCGTTGCCAGAAAGAGCGACAAGAGCCAAAGAGGTTTGCAAGTCGGTCTTGTTGTAGATTGTTGAGTCGTTGATGAGCTTCTGAAAAAAGTCGATCTGGATGGTCATGTTTGGGTCCAAAGACAGAGTTTTGAACACTCCAGTCCCACCATAAGCAAAGTTCATTCCATTACGTAGTTTTTTACCACCATATTTTCTCCATTGGTATGGTATTGGAGACTTCATTCCCAGGAACTTAGCTGAAAAAAGAAAACTCACATATATCATTCTTGATTGTTTAATATATAAAGTGAGGTTTAGAGACACACCCAAGTGGTCAACTTTCATGTAAATGCAGAATAAAGTGAAGATTTGGTTAAAGGTGAAGAAATTTCTACGTGGGTCGGATAGGAAACAGAAGACGGGTCCCATTATGGTGCCCAAAAAATAATTTTCAGTACCCAAATCTACAAGCCGGTAAATATTCTCCCTACATTTTTCTCTTTTTTTTTTGGCTAATGTTGCACACATGTACTTTTTGGAATTACAATCAACGGTGTCTAGTTAGCTTACATCCAATTTGACCGGTCTTTTTCTAGGTTCGATTTCAAGAAATTGTTAAATTTTAAACTCATAATATCTATCTAAATTTACTGTTCATCCATGGTTCTAGAGACCATGGTTGTAATTATGTATTCATAACTATATTTATGAATGTAAAAGATCATTGGGGAAACAGAAAAATAGAGGGGAAAAAAGTAGAGCAATTAGAAAAAGATACGATATTGATCTGACACGATAAGGAAAAAAACAGATAGAAAAGTTAAAGACTCAATAATGTAAGCTGTAATGCACATGCGCAAACAAAGAACAACTCAAGCAGAGTTAGCCTCATCATCATGAGAGAGAGAGAGAGAGAGGCCCAACGCCAACCAGACTTGAATACAACTATACAAGTGTAAAGCAAACCCATTAATTTAAGCCCAAAAATTGAAAGCAAAAGCTAAAGCACATACAGTAATCGTGCAGAGAGAGACAGAGAGAGAAACAGAACCAAACAGAAGAGGTGTACCTATAAAATCAGTGAGGACACGGCCATCGGAGAACCGGCCCGCCGGCTTACCGGGAAACGTGATACCATAGGGGATCTTCCAAGAGTTTGCTTCAGACTTCTTGTTGTTCCCTGTATCAGCATACGAGTCCCCGAATACGAAAAGCTTTGTCGGACGAAAGCCATTGAGTTGGTGGTGGTGGCGGTGGTGGTGGTGGTGGTGGTGGTGAGATGAGCCCTGCACTAGCTGGTGTTCTGTATATATCAAAAGAGAGAAATCAACTGATTTTAGAGCTGATTATAATGAGAAATATAAGGAGGTAAAGCTATGATCTGTACCTGTGATGAGGAGCGAGAAGAGGGTGAAGAAGGGGAAGATGAGCTTTTGAAGCTCCATGAGAGGGAATGATGAAGTGTGGTGAAAGAAGCGAGACTAGATATAGAGAAGCAAGTGTAGAGATGTTGGAAGGCTTACAAAATTCATTTTAAAAAAATTTTGCCACTTAAAAATATCATATTTTTTCGACGTTCCTTAATGTCAAACAATTCAATCAACGTATCAATACTCATCAATGTCAAACAATTTCATCAATAAATATCTTACTTCTCCTTTTTTTTCTTCATTTTAATTTTAAATTATAAAATCAATGTTCGATTTTTAATATTACATAAGCCTATTGAAAAATTACTTGTTTTAAAAAATAACTTATTTTTTTTCTAATAAAAATGTGATACATATGAATATTTATTTCATTATTTTACGATTAATGTTTGAAATTAACAGTTACAAATTGCATCAAACTAAGATTTAAGATTCTTATTCAATTTCTGTATACATATACATATATAATATTTTGGTAAACTTTATGCATCAATAAATAGGAACTCTCTTAAGATGGGAGGAACTTGGAAATTCAATGTAATAATTAATGAAGCCTTTTTAAGTAATTATTCTCTATAATTTTAACTATTCTAGAATCCTCCTAGATTAGGGCACATGAAATCCCCTCCAAATTAGCAAAGATGACCTTACTAAGTTAAATATGACACTAATCATATATTAGTGGAAGACAGATCTCTGAATAAAACGTTTGCGCCTAAATGCATTGTAGATACACAAGTCAACGGATTAAATTTGGATCGGATCTAGATCCATCTGAATTCGAATTTGATTAAAAAAATTGTTACCTTAAGTTATTCACCTTGGCAATTGCAATTCCATGGTGACACTCGAGACATTTAGATCGTCAAGCAGTCTACCGTTCTTTAATTCCAAGTTGTAGACTCATATGCATAGATTTGTGAGACACTACATAAATTGGAGCATTGCAGTAAAATGTTTATTTATTGAAAAATTTTTGTTTGAAGTTTATTATTCTGTTAAATTTTTTGCCTGCAGTTGCTTCTTTACTCCTTCACTGTTTCTCTAACAGTTATTAAGGTGCTCTCCCATTCTAACTTTGTTCATTTGTTGGTTGAAAAACAATGATAAGATATTTTAGAACTTTTAATCCATTTTTTTTGTGCCTCCAATGTGTTTGTTGAAATGCCACTGGGTTGTTTTTAAATAACATCTTTTCTTGAGCGTGACATAGCATTCCAAATCAACTCTAAAATCATGTCAAAGTTCGACACGACACGATTTAAACAGGTTTAGATAATAAACGGGTTGACCCGTCAAATATGTTTAATAAACAGGTCATGTTCGGATGAGACCTGTCAACTAATTTACTTGTTTAAATAAATTTAATATAATAATAAATTAATAATTATATATATATATATATGTATATATTCGGTTGGTATAATGTGATGTTATGATTTACATAGAATGGACAACTTTTCTTTCTTTATTGGAAGAAAGTAGTGATTGAAGTCATTTTATGTAAACAATAATTCACGGGAGTGCCAGATCTGGGGTGAGGTCATCAATATCTTCAAATGCTGCAAATGGATCTTGGGCATATCCTGGAGGGAGCTCTGCTGATACAGATCCTTGCGATGATGCTGACGAGTCACTATCCGAATTAAGCTGGTCTAGGAGCTTCTGGAGGAGCTTAGCCTTGGACTTCCTTTTGGATTTCTTACTGGAACCCTTAAATGTGGATTTCTCTGGCTGGGCTGCCTTTTCAGGAAGGCTAGGCCTTAACAGGAGTGACTGGTAGTAAGGTACTTGGGACTGCTACTGGAGTTGGTACCTTGACTGGAAAATCCTATTGAACCAGGGCAATAATATTGCCTTGTTGGAACCTGGGCCACCATTTGACATAAAATTGTCGGACTAGATTGAATCTAACAATTTCTCATTGCCATTTGAGAATCCATGGGACTTTGTACCTGCAAATAAAAATTAGTAAAAGGGGAACATGACTCTCTTGTTTACTAGGACGGTAAACAGATGAGAAGATATTAATCTGATCTAGAAGATCAGCTGGAAAGATTTCATTAATGGGGTCGTGTTGATGCCACCACTGTAGGAACCACGCAGGAATGCGGCTCTTGAAATCTTTATGAAAAGATAAGAACCAGGAATGGGTCAAATTCTCATTCTGGTAGAGCAATATTTTAGACCATGACTCAATGTAGTCATAGTAATTAAATTGTCTGGTGTGAAATGGAAGGTCTCGGAGTAAAGATGGATGAGAACCCCATTCCTCAACAGAAATAATGTTGCATATAGTTAAGGCATGATAAAGGGTTTTAGATGGGTCATTCTTATCTGGTATGGGCCTGGTAAGAATGGATTTTGTGAAAAAGAGAATATCTTGGTAGAAACTATGTGGTTTCTCAAGATCAACAGGAATGAAATTCCAACCTTTAGGGAGGTAGGCTTTCACCAGATCTCTTGGATCCTTGTACTGGGAATGAGAAAATTCAATGGCTAATACATTCTGGGTAAAAGCCTTGATATAATCAACTCTTGGGCTTTTATGAGCTACGAAAGATTGGGATGATGTGTAAGGGTTGGTTAATGTACTGGTAGGTGGTCTTTGGGCCATTTGGGTAAAAGTCAATGGGTTTACAGTAGTTGAAATGGCTACTGGTCATACGACTAAGGATGATTGGGCTATTGGCCCTGGTGATGGGGCTATTGGCCTCATTGGGTTAGGGTTTCCTAATGACAGATACCTGTTTGACAATACTATTGGCAAGTCAGGTTCAGGTTTTGGTAAGACTGGTTTTGGTAAGACTTGTTTATCCTTTTTCCCCCCCTGATTTTTGGAGGAGGTTCCAGATGAACTGGGTTTCCTAGTTGCCATGAGGTTCCTGCAAAAATTCACGGGTTAGGAAATCATGGATATAATTATTTTCTGCTTTAATATATTCTATATCAAAATTGAAAATACTTAAAATAGATTGTCATCTTGCAAAAATTTGCTTAGTAGCAATATTTTTAACATCTTTGGTTAAAACATCCTTCGCAGATTTACAATCAACCCGTATCAGGAATTTCTGATTTAATATATCATCCTGGAATTTTGAGATACACAGGACAATAGATAAAATCTCTTTTTTAATAGTAGAGTAATTAGCTTGGGTCTTATTCCAAATTCCAGAATGGAATCGAACAATTTGTTCGGGAGAATGAAGAGATGTTCTCTGAAGGAGGATACCACCATAGCCAATTTCAGAGGCATCAGTCTGAATGATCTTGAAGGAGTCAACAGACGGAATTCTAAGACAGGGAAGAGTTTTAATGAACTTCTTGACCTGTTGAACAATAGAAGTATGGACAGGGGTCCAAGGAGAAGGATTTCCTTTAAGCCTGTCATACAGAGGTTTGATGGTTTTCCTAAGATCCTGATAGAAGTCAGAAACATAATTTAGGGAACCTAAAAACCTTTGAAGCTGATTTTTATCTAATATTTCATCAGGGAACTTATCTGCAAATTGGATAGCTCTACTGATGGGAACTATGGTAGACTCCTGGATGTTGTATCCTAAAAACCTTACTGAGGTTTGGAATAACTTAATTTTAGGAGCTGAAATAACTAAACCATTTTGCCTTACTAGTTCAGAGAAAGCATACAGGTGCTTCCAATGTTCTTCTATTGACCTGGAGAAGATGAGAATATCATCTATATAGACAATAGAAAAATGACTTATACAATTAAATATTTCATTCATTATGTTCTGGAATTCGCTTGGAGCATTTTTGAGCCCAAAAGCCATAACATTCCATTCATAATGCTCAAAAGGGGTGGTGAATGCAGTCTTATACCTATCCTCAGGGTGGATATGTATTTGCCAATACCCACTTTCGAGATCAAATTTTGAAAAGCTAACAGACTTACTGAGTCTTTTTATCAAATCTTGTTTATTAGGTATAGGGTACCTAATCCATTCTAAAACTTTGTTTAAGGGTTTGTAATTGATAACAAGCCTTGGCACTCCTCTTTCTAATTCTGCATTTTTAACGACACAGAAAGCCGGGCAGGACCAGGGCGACTTACTTTTCCGAATGATACCATTTTTTAATAACTCAGAAATCTCTTTTTTTTACAGATTTCCATAGTTTCATGGTTCATTTGGATTGGTCTGGATTTAGTTGGGATATTGTCCTCACTAAAACCTTTGACATATGGAAGTCTAACCACATGTTTATTCCTATGCCAGAATGCTGTAGGAAAGGATGAACAGACTTCTGTTTCTAATTTTTCTCGAAACTTTTCAATCTTTTGTTGTAAGATTGGGTTGGTTAGGTGATCTTTAATCCTGAGGTGGTTAATCTCATTCTTAAGAAATTCCACTTGTTTAATTTTATTATGAATAACATTAAGGGACTTAGAGACTGAAACGTCTTTTAGTTGCCTCAATTGTTTTCTTTTTGGTTTGGTAATGAAAGGAAATACAACCTTTTGTCCAAAGGGCTTGGTTGTCAGTCCATCCGTATTTGTACTAAAAGGGTACAACAGATATACGAATGGTAAACCAAGAATGATTGCATCTGTTATGTCTTTAACCAAAATAAATGAGGTCTCAAAACAAACATCTTGTTGGCAGACATGCACCTTAGGAAGTTTGTATTTAACATTCATTTTACTACCATTGGCAGAACTAATTTTTTCCATTGTTTTTTCATAAAACATGGTTGGAACCAGTCCTTCTTGGATACAGTTAACATTTGCACCTGTATTAATAAGTGCAATAATGTTAAGTTCAAAGTTATTATTGATGACTATTTTCACTTCAACATGCTTTTTGGACAATTAAAGAATTAATTAGGCTAATTCTTTTATCATCATTAGTGTTCACTTCATGGAATGAAGGCAGGTTTGTTACACCAAAAGTTTCCATCTGAAAGGAGTAGGTTACTGGTATCCCCTGTGTATAGCGTTGATGATCAAAAGGATTAGTAAAATTTAAAGATGAGTTAGATGACTCAAATGTAATTGC